CTGTCCAATTAATTTCTTTCTATTTTTGGTAGAGACGGGGGTCTCACTCTTGCTCAGGCTGGTCTCAAACTCCTGAGCTCAAACGATCCGCCTGCCTCGGCCTCCCAGAGTGCTAGGATTACAGGCGTGAGCCACCGCGCCCGGCCTTGATATGCTTTTTATTCATGAGGTTTTCCTCCTTTTTTTTCCAATTATTTTTTTCTTTCAGCTCCAGGGCAGCAGTCCAAGTCACTTCCTCTCCTGACCCTGTTTACTCCTGCCAGTCATAGATGATTTAACGCTAAGGATCAGGACTCATTCAAACCAAGTCCAATAAAAAGGGAGTTTATCGAAAGGGTATAGAGGCAATTCTTCAGACATCCAAGACAGCACTATAGCAAAGGCTCAGTGGAACTTGACCATAAATTCAGAAACCAAGGTCCCCTAGCTCAAAAGAGTCTGTTTGGCTGTGATTACTCCCTTCTCTTACTTCTTCCTATGAATTCTTTCAGTTTCATAATTTCAAAGGCCTGGAAAACAGAATGTGATTGGCCTAGTGTGGGTCACTAGTGTATGTGTGCTCCTGGCCATGAGAGTTGTGTTCACGTGGGGTGTGTGTGTATGTATGGAAGTTTCCTGAGGCACATTGGGCTGCCCGTTCTATGAGCTATGGGGTGGGCAGGTTCTCCAAGAGGTAGGATGAGCGAGGAGGAATGACATCTGATCCATTCTACAAGTCTGAGCTCCACGTCTATCTCTCCTGCCCTTTTGAGATCTTTTTCTCAGGACTTCTGTAATCTACTTTAAAAGAATTGGGGGGAAAACATGTACTGCCTCTCCCCTCCCCCCCTCCCCCCCACAGAGGATAATGATGAATATGGAGAGTCTCAAGGGATCTCAATTTATGCTCTAAACGCAACTGGACTTCTGGCTAGATTATTAGCAGCCAGCGTGGATAGTCATTGTCCTAAACTGTGTTCAAGGTAACCACATGCTGACTTTTTAAAAAGTGTGTCAAGGACCATTGTCCTGTGAGCCTATTTTTGGTCCTTGTGTCTTTGAGACTTTACATTCAGTGGGAACTATCTAATGCTTACCTCTTTTAGATTGTGTCTACACCGAGTTTCCTGTTTGGATTAGAACCTGTACAGTTCTGGGAACAGCACCAAATCACATTTTCCTTTAAGTGGAAAATATCAGCTCATGATACCCTTGGGCCTAAGCTGGTGTCTACAAATAGCTTCTTTTTGTGGCAACAAATTAGTTCTGGGGTTTATTTTATTCTGCATTATTTCCGAGGTCTGCCTCCCTGCCTGAATTTGCTGAGTGATGGTCAAGTCCTTCATTTATCTTATAAGTAGATCTGCCCTGGAATTCTCCTTTTTACTTGTATCTCTTGACCTTCCTGAGAATTTATTGAGTTTAAACTTGGGGTTTAAAGCTCCTCTATAGAGTGTTATGCAGTGAGGTACTGTAGAAAGCAGAAATGTCCTTTAGTAAATGGGGCTTTAGCAAAATTTTTTTATGTTACTGGGGAAAAAAATCTGATTTAATGATAAAGAAAGCATTTGACTATTTCCTTACACAAGCGTGTTGTTTTTTCACAGGTAAGGGGTGATCAGATAATTTGCTGTGTGTGCAGCGACCATTCTGTGGGTCTCCTTCACCTGGAGGGGAAGAGGTGCCTCTTGCGTGCCCGGAAGCACCTTTTCCCTGTGAGGATGATAAAATGGCACCCGATAGAGAATTTTTTAATTGTTGGATGTGCAGATGACTCTGTCTACATCTGGGAAATTGAAACAGGTAAACTGAAATTTTATTCCTTTTTTGTCCTTTATGTTTATGATATATAAGCATCTGTCCAGATGGAAAGTTTCATAGAAGACATAGTGACGACTTCACTTGCTTTAACCTTTGGTTGGGTTGTATTTAATGACTTTGGATATAGGCATGTGTGGAAAATAAAACACAATGCCCTAAGTCAGATCCTGACCAACTGATGATTAGCTGACAGGGCAGTGCACAGGAATGAGCCGGATATTTCTGGAAGCTATAAATAAAAACATAAGTTATCTACTTTAATTATTAACAAGAGAGAAATTTAGTGTCCTACTGGTCTCAAATTATCATTAAATTCTGCCTTCTTCAGCATACTCACCATCTCAGCAACATTTTGAGCTAATTGATGATCAGTAATAATGGAATATAATTAATTATAAAACTCCAAGAAGTTGAGTCAGGGAAACTGAAAACTGAGTGGCTCAGATTGAACTTTCAGTATCATAGCATAGAGAATGTACATTTTGAACTTTAAGATTTTTTAAAAAGTTTTACTACATGACTAAAGATTGAGAGTAACACATTTCAGAAAATGCTGGGAACATATCAAATAAGGTGAGGTAATTAATGAATGTGAGTCAGGGGAGTTCACTTGAGAGTACATTTCACTGAAACTATTGCATGATTTTTATTGATTAATCAGTGGTGGTTTTATGTTGGGTGTTATTAACAGACTGCATAGTTTATAATATTATAGTTTAGAGCCATACTTCCCAAAATAATGGCTATTTTCTTTACATTTGACTGTCATGTGTTAATGATGATGACTAATGTACTAGCGTCTAGAGCATGCAACATAATACTGAGTTACATTTGTACCTGGTTTTATAGCTTTGATGGGCTTTCCTGCTCATTTTCCCATTAGATTCTCACAACTTCTGAGGTAGGTAGGAGAGATATTAGTCACCATTTTATTGATGCGGAATTTGCAGATCTGATATGTAAATGTACAAGATTGTTCAGCTAATAAGTGATGAACCAGTTTGAGGGCTCTGGTTGTTCTTTGCACAATATACACAAAATTAGGAGAGTTTTAGGATTCTTAAGTAATTTATTGATCTGAGTGGTAATTTAGTATAATGGATAAATTAGACTCTAAAGCCTGGGCTTGCCTCCAAGACCTGTGAATAAAGAGCTATATGACCTTGGACAAATTACTTGGCCTTTTTGCCTGTCAATTTCCTTATCTGTGAAATGGGATAATAATAATTTCCTGTCAGGAATACGTGAGCTAATACTACTTTGCTTATAAACAGTACCTATAGATGGTCAGCCCTTAGTGATAGTTAACTATTACTGTTATATTAAAGAGTGCAGCAAAATCTTGCCTTCTGTCTGTGAAATTTGAATCTGTAAAACACATGTGTTTATAAATGTGTACAATTGCATTTTCAGTTGTGAACACTTAGTAACCAAACATATTTTTCATAGATAAGAGAATTCAACAAGAGAAAAGAAATGTCTGGGCAAACTCACAAGTGTTCATGGTCCCCTTGCCCCATCAGGATACCTTCAGGCTATGCAATTTTTAATTTATGTATTCTTTGATATGTG